ATGTACCTTATTATTCAGTCATAATTTACCCTCAGTCTCAGTTTGTGTTTGCTCTGTGCCAGCCAGGTTCAGCTCAAGTTCAGTTCCTGGAAGGCTGTGTGGTGTGTAAAGGCCATTACATAACTATGTAATTCCTTCCTTTATCCTTCCAATAAATGATAAATCTAACCTTGTATGGATATTCTACTTTTATATGTCAGTATAAAGCAAGGTCAGAGATGATGACAGCATAGTAACAGCAGAACCTCTTCTTGTGACCCATTTGTCAGTTTGAAACCAGCTGCAGCTGCTACATGACTACAGCACAGTTAGCTACAGGAGTGGCCTAGAAAAACCAACGGCCTCCAAATATACACTGCCTACAGAAAAACCTGTCCTTGTTTATGCTGAAGAAACGGTTTTACTGTCTACAGAGACCAGGCCTGACTTTTGTCAACTCAAAACAGCAGCAGTGAATGTAGAACCTGCAGCACATTTGTTTGAGAACAAAAAAACAACAAGTCCAACAATGAAATATATGATTTGTCAAGGTCTCCACTGGTCAAGGTTTGGAGAGCTACTTGGTGAGCATTACCTAGATCGCACTACACAATATTTCTGAGTTAAATTGACTGCAATATAGCGCCTTTTTAGTCTTGCAACCACTCAAAGCACATTTACCCATTCACACATTGATGACACAGCATCAGGAGCAACCCACTCTACCTCTGGAGCCACAGCTGACCCAAGAACCATCAAACTACACGACAAACAGTAACTGCTTTTGCAGGAATTCAGCCTGATTCTAAAATTTTAGCTAAAAGTCAAGCTTAAACCATACATTGTCTGCTCAGTTTAAGAGGTATTGCGATCTTATAACAGCGTCATACTGCTCTGCATTTGCTCCCAGCAGAATAGAGTCATTTGTGCAAACCCAAAAAGGTTGCTTGGACATTCTTAAAGCTGCAGTAGGTAACTTTTATATAAATAACGTTTTGTCATATTTGCTGAAATTTCTTTGTCTCATGTACTACTGTCAGGATATAGTGAACATTTAACCAAACAAACAAAAAGCTTTAATGAGAGATACTCACCTATTATTGTTACAAAGGAAACCTTTAACTTGAAACAAGTTGCAGACTGCATTTTTTTACTCCCCACCACCTCCTCCTCCTCCTCTGGTCTTGTTGGTGTCTCCCTTAGCTCTCCAATTATCTACTTAAAGCAGGAACAGAGCTGTCTGCTGGAGCAAAACAAACTGCTGATTACAGAGTAGTGTGTCTTTGTGCTGCTTCAATCACTGCAGAAATTAAAAGATAATAAGCTGACACTGTAAATACTTTCAACCTGAACAGCCAGCTCCATTGCTGAGTCTTTTTATTTTCTCCAGCATTTGTGGAAACATAAATACCAGCCTGTGTTTGTCAGGAAACCTACGTGTGTACAGTCTGAGCCACTGAAGCCTAGGTCAACCCATGGAGGAACAAGTGAGATATGCGATGTAAATAAATTATTTTATTATGGTGGAGGTAATTTTATACTGCAATTATCCTGTAATTTAGTGGATCTTCTGGAAATTAAAGTGGAGAAATATTTTTTAATCTAACCCAATTATCATTTCTTCATGCTAGCATGTCGGGGCTAAATAACGCTCTAAAGTTAGGCAACATTTTAGTGAGAGAAAAACTGGCATGGCCATTTTTAAAGGGATCCCTTGACCTCTGGCCTCAAGATATCTGAATGAAAATTGGTTCTATGGAGACACAAGTCTCTCCTTGAATTAATTAGGAAAACTGAGACACATTCTTCAAAAAAGTCTGGTTGCTGTCTACCTCTGCCTCAATCAGTTACTTCTTTTGTGTTATTGTGTGACTTTGGTGTTTTAACACGTTCCAATCCAAACTAATGATAGCTGCTGCAGATCAAGGCTGTGCCACCTACACCTGGATATACTAAATAACCAGTGAATCCAGCTATCAGATAAATGTAAAGGAGTAAATTAATACAAATATCGTTGTGTAATGTAGCAGAGGCAAAACTAGAAACTAGTCTCCTAAATGGAATTATTCAACCAAAGCCTCTAAAGCGGTTTTGAACTGAGTAAATGCCCTCAGAGCTCTGGTTTCAGCAACCATGTTGAAACTTTGTCTGTGTAGGACATTTATGACACAAAGCTGCTGTCCCTGGTGAATCAGCTCTTTCTTGCTCCTGCAGCTGTTGTTGTGTGTTCAGAGGGTTAATAAGCTGTGTATTGTTCGGGAGTCTCTGGCACATATAGGTCATGCTCTTGTTGTTCTGCCTCCCTCCCACTGTATGAACTGCATGTGTGGGTATGTCACTGTTTTCTCAGCGCTTTCTCAGCGCAACAGCGCTAGATCCCCTTCATCTGAAGCTGCCGTCACCCAGTGAGAACCTCTGCTATCTCCAACACGGTAACTGCCAGACTGCAATAACAAGAGTAGATCGATCGTGAAGTTGTTTTAGTTTAACATTTGTAGTTACTAGGACTATTGAGCCCAATAGACTGTGCTTTCCTGGGACATTAATGATATTAGTTCCATCTGTGCTATTCCTGCTTTGACAAGTAACACATTCTGTATCCTAGTTTCAAACTACATACTAATTCTAAGTAGGTTTTTATAATATAATATAGCCAAGACTTAGACTAATTAAGACTAATTACAGAATAATTAGTAAGTTATCACTGTATTCATGGTATTATGTATGATTCCAGTGAATATACATGTTTGAATTGATCAATTAAGGATTATCATAGCTGATCTGGCATAGATGTACACATGTACTTGATTACGATGTAAAGATAGATTCCTATTTAGAGTATACATAGCAGTTATATGTGTAGGTATACAAAATGTAGTGCTTTTGTTTTCTACTGGTATTTCTAGATGTGCAGTCTGTTTATGAGCTGAAGGTGAAACTCACTCACAGGATCACCATTAGCTAGGTGCTCCAAAACATTGTTTGCGGTCAGGTGATTCTGATGACACTCGAAATTCAGAATGAGGCAGAAACTGAAAGACTGAAAGGTGGAAAGCTAATAAAAAGTAATATACAATTAATATACATATTTTGATTGGTGGAAGGGAACCAAAGCACCCCGGAAATAACCCATTCAAAAATGTAGACAGGTTTCCCAACCACCATAGTTTCTCCTACACAGTTGGAACGGCAGGGTGAGATGAGGGCGTATTAATCTGCAACTAACTTCATACTGGTCCTTTTAAAAAGCTGTAATTTAGAACTAATTCTTTACACCAGTGACATGTGAAAGTTGTGTGCTTGTAAACATGTGGCAACTGCAGTTCTTCTAAAGGCCACTTGAGGCTGGCTCCAGCAGTGAGTCAATCTCCAGAGGGCCCCATATTAAAATGTCCAACTTTACAGCAGAAATAAACATGTTTACAGCCTGGTACAAAAAACGATTTTGTTCTCTATAGCTAATTTCGCCGTTCATGACAAACTTTGTTTAAATTATATTAAAGCTTAAAGTTACGCATAATTAAGGGAATGGCCACTTTGATTGACAAGTAGGTGTCTGTTTTTTAGTAACCAGGCCTCATTCAGCCCGCCTCAGCTGCACATACGCTCCACCTGTTGTCCATTTTTTGATTAACCGTTGCTGGCAGATTAAGGACTGCCAACATGGCGATGGCCAGAGCCGACCACACTGAGCTTTACAACTGCTCTTCACAAACCTATGGGTGAGACCACGGAGACTACGTCCATTTGTAATTATACCTTCGATGCTAA